TATAAAATGGAAAATATGACAAAGGAGACCCTGAAATGTTGAGCAGCTGAAATACTATATCAAGCAAGAATGGTAAAACATTTCACTACAAAAGTACAGCAATTGATTTCCTCAGTTCCCAAACACTTACAGACTGTTGTTAAAAGAAAGAGAAGGTGATGCAAAACAGTGGTAAACATGCCCAGTCCCAGCTTTTTTTGAAACATGTTGCTGATGCCAATTTCAAAAAACAATAAAATTTCTCAGTTTCAACATTTCATACGTTGTTTTGTATCATTTTCATCACTGCATTCTGCTTTTATTTACATTTTGCACAGTATCACATTTTTGGAAATGGGGGTTATACCATATTTGGCACATTTACAGTCGTATGCAAAAGTTTGGGCGCCCCTGGTTAAATTATGTGTTTTGTTGATTTTCTAAGTGAAAATTAGTTAACACATTCTCTGCATATTTTAGTACACAATATATGGTTATTTGCTGCAATTAACCTACTGGAAACATACTGTGCAAAGCATCATTTTATATTGTATGTTTTTCCATTGTGTTAAACTCAGAAATAACCTCCTTATTCCAAACATCCAGTATACTGGACATTTTCCCCCAGGTATTAGCTCTACAGAAGAAGGTATGTTTTGTATGTATGTATTTCCTTCTAGAAGGTCCCTCCTGTGAAAAGTAAAGAAAGGAAATAGTAGATTTCATTTGTACATATACAAAATTTGAGATTAATTTTAATATCCAGTAATCTGGACATTTGTAGTAAATGATGCTTTGATTAGTATAATAGACTCCTGCATTACAAAATGCAATGATGCAAGATCTTTGTTTATTTTGTTAAAAGTAGAATCTTAGGTGTGTTTAAGAGTGACAGTAGACGATTTTCTATGAATTTAGGATAAAGTTTTTTTTTGATGATTTCAATGGATTTCACTGTACAGTAGACTGGACACTGGAATTAGGCACATGAAATCTGCAAGATTAAAAAAAATTGAAAACATCGTAATTTCTGACAGAAATGTTATTTCTATCTACTACACTGGGCCATAGAATAAGTATGTTATATGCACAATATTACATATAAATCTATGTAATATGTAATACAGATTATGTAATGTTTTCTGACTTTTTTCATTAATGACCTCAATTATTTCAACAATTTGTTCATTTTGAGTGTTGTCATGACTGGCTCAACATCATGACAAATAAAAGGGAAGCACACAGTGAATAACTGAAAAATTATTTTAATAAGAAATAAACTTAAGGATCTGGTGCAAAAATCTCAAGGACAAACCTGTAGGCCAAAACAACTCCAAAATAAACAAATAAACAGAAGCATAATGCCCAAAAGAACAAAAGAAAACTGGCCCAAAAAAATGAACTGCCCGGGACACAAACAACAAAACAAAAGAGGAGCTCCCGCCACAAGCACACCACACAGGTGTAAGTAGTGTTCTTGATGAGGCCTTCAGCCCCACCCACTACAACTCCACCTGTAATGGCGCAGGCCTGTCACAGTGTAGTATAAAGATTATTATAAAAATTGTTTAAGTTCAAAAACTTTATGTAACTGTACAAGCAGTAAACACAGAAAAGGCTCAGTGCTTGCTTTGTGCCTTTTGTTGGTGATATGTGTTCATTATTCAAAAACACTCACATTTAATGTGCCAAAGTTCAAATGTCCAGTGTACTAGACACTGAAAAAAAAGTATTGTTATTTAAGGGAACTTAGTGCGGCATTTGACACAATAGACCACACTATCTTACTAGACAGACTAGAAAACCTTGTAGGGGTAACAGGAATAGCTCTTTCCTGGTTCAGGTCCTACCTCACTGATCGCTATCAGTTTGTTAATATAAACGGTGAATCATCTGTTCTCACAAAAGTAAAGTATGGTGTTCCACAAGGCTCTATTTTAGGACCTGTATTATTCACATTATATATGCTACCACTGGGCACCATTATCAGTAAACACAGCATAAACTTCCACTGCTATGCCGATGACACTCAGTTATATTTAGCAAGCGACCCAGATGATAGAATTAAACTTAGCAAGATTGAGGACTGTATAAAAGACGTAAAAGACTGGATGTCGAGTAACTTTCTCCTTCTAAACTCGGATAAAACAGAGGTTCTGCTTCTTGGTCCAAAAGCAGCTAGAAACAGACTGTCTAATTTAACATTTAAACTTAACAATTTCTCAGTTGCATCAAGCTCATCTGTAAAAAGCCTTGGTGTCATTATAGACCCTGATCTGTCCTTCGACGCACACATAACTAATATTACTAGAACAGCCTTCCTGCATCTCCGTAATATTGCTAAATTGAGAAATGCATTATCTCTACAGGATGCAGAAAAGTTAGTTCATGCATTTATTACTTCAAGGCTAGACTACTGTAATGCCCTGCTGGCTGGATGTCGCAGCAAAGGCCTTAACAAGCTTCAGTTGGTCCAGAACGCTGCAGCCAGAGTCCTTACAAGAACCAGAAAGTTTGACCATATCAGCCCAGTTTAACAACCTTACACTGGTTGCCAGTTAAATTTCGGATTGATTATAATATTCTCTTGCTGACTTACAAAGCTCTAAACGGACTCGCCCCTCAGTACCTGAGTGAACTTCTCTCTGAACCATCCCGCCTACTTAGATCACAAGGTGCTGGCTTACTATTAGTACCCAGAATTAATAAAGTTATGTCAGGGGGGAGAGCTTTCTCATACAAAGCCCCCCGGCTTTGGAATAGTCTTCCTGTTAATGTTCAGGACTCAGACACAGCCTCAGTGTTTAAGTCTAGGCTAAAAACGTAGTGGTATAGTCAAGCCTTTGGTAATTAGTTTTCCCTGTCAGTTCTATACCTGCCAGAGTCTCTGCTAACACTAATTTGTGATCGGTCACCCATTACAGAACTGACTTTCTGTGTGTTTTCCTCTCTTGTGTGTTTTCCTTTCTTTTCTTCGCCGAGTTGAACAGCTGCCCATCCTGTGCGTTCTGATGCTGCTGCCTTTTCTGCCTTGATCGGGTGCCACTGCTCGCCAGCCCTCTGGACCGGCTTACCAACATTGAGCCTCCTGCTGTACAACGTCGTGCAAACCTCACCCTCACAACCTGACCCCACTGATACTACTGCTGTTGTTACATGAACTAATCAAAATTATTCACCTGAACCAATCAATCATTTAAACTAATTCAAATTAATCAATCACCCATTGTAGAACTGACTCTGTGTTTTTCCTTTCTTTCCTTTGTCGAGTTGAACAGCTGCCCATCCTGTGCGTCTGATGCTGCTGCCTCTTCTGCCTTGATCGGGTGCCACTGCTCGTCGTGCAAACCTCACCCCCACAACCTGACCCCACTGATGCTGCTGCTGCTGCTGCTGCTGCTGCATGAACTAAACTATTCAAATTAATCATTTGCTCCTCCTTTTACCCTGTTTTTGTACTATAATACTTTATACTAACAATGTTTTACGATTCGGTGTCGACCAGAGGAGGATGGCTTCCCCTTCTGAGTCTTGGTTCCTCTCAAGGTTTCTTCCTGTTTCTTAGGGAGTTTTTCCTTGCCACTGTCGCCACTGGCTTGCTCATGGGGGCTTGGACCCGGATTTCTTTTCTTTTTGTAATGCTCATTTCCTTGTAAAGCTGCTTTGTGACGACACCTGTTGTAAAAAGCGCTATATAAATAAACTTTACTATTACTTTACTAAACTTTACTAATACGTAGCAGAGAACATATTTCTTAACAAAACATGATGTGTCCAGTCTAAGGGCTACAGAGGACACACAAAAATTGTGCCCTAAAATGCCACATTCAAGCTACAGGATTCTTGATGAATTTTTATTTAGTACATAAACAAAACGTTATTTCACCAGAGGGTGTCCAAACTTTTGCATTTGCCTGCACATACACATCTTTAAAAGATTTATTATTGACATTTCAATGAGTGCAACACCACATTTATATCATGTTGACAAGAGACGCAAATATGAAATACTTTCTTTCACATATATTTTGACTTCAAAGTTTTAGTCTTGTTAGAAAGAAACTACATGCAGCATTTCCATCATTATATCTGGTTGCTGCAATTTTTTTCACATGGTTAACTGTTTATCTATTCAATTATTCTTATTTTTTTATTTCTCATGTTTTTGGTTCTATTAGATTAACTGTTGAAATTTTGACTCTGCAGTTTCCCAACAGACATAACTGACTAAAAATAAAACCTGTAGTGTGCAAAAGTCAGAAACCACTCTTTCATTTTTTTTATTTCCAGTCAAACTTCATCTATCAAGTACAAATTATTCATTTTTCAGTATTTGAAAAAAGCAGAAACACAGAAGCCTTAACAAATGAACAGAATGAACAGAATATCAGAATAGCAAAAGTTTTGGTATTTAGTGCATCCACCTTTGACCTTCATTGCAGCTTCCATTCCTTCCGTGAAATTCTCTCTCAGTTTTTCAAAGAAATCTGCTGGGATGTTTTTCCACACCTCCAAAGTTCAGTCTTAGAAGTTGGTTGCATTTTCTGCTTCTCACGATTCAAATATTCCAAAACATATTCAGTGATGTGGTCTGGACTCTGGGGTGGTCACTTCATTATTCTGAGAAAACCAGCAGCTTCTTCTTGGTTTGATTTGCAAATGTTCTTCTTTTTAGTTTGTTTTTTATTTCTCAGTAACGGCTTCTTACAGCTACACATCCTTTCAGACCCACAGCACTGAGACGTCTTCTCACATATCTAATCTTCTGAGAAGAATATCCTGAAAAATGAATAAATTGTACTGGATGGCTGTTTCGACTGCAGGTGAAATAAATGAAGACTGGACTTTTGTACAAAACCGTATTTCGACTGATGTTTTCAGAATCTTTAATGAAAAAGCGGTTTGTATCATGGGGCTGTCGACGGAAATAATATCGGAAAAGCACTCCAAAATAGAAGGAAGAATGCGTCGGTATTTGCAAAAACTCTACAAAGCACAGAAAAGAAATGCACTGAAGAAAATTGGATCAAGCTTTTGTTTTTATTCTACACAAACAATATGTAACCAAGGTGGCTTCAAACAAAATATCTAAGAGGATTTTGCTAGAGTTTCATCAAAGGTGTGATATTATACAAAATAGTTTACAAATAACCATCATATGAAAGACACCACTAAATATTTATTCCCTACATGCACAATTTCCTGCATACTATAGAAACACCCAAGACAAACACAAAGGGGGAAAAAAGCTGGTGGATAAACATTTTAGCGTTGAGTGTGATCAGTCTGTTTTCACAGTTTACCAGCTCTGCAAGTCATTCAGTCTTGCTTCCCATATGATGTGGATATACAATAGACTGCAAGACTGCTAACTAAGTGTCTGCCTTACAATAAGGTATCTTTTCATAGACTTCAATTTAGTGAAATTAAAGGAATTGTCCAGTGTTTTCTAGCTTAATCTTTATCTGATACATCTGTAGCCTGTGGACAGTTTTAGCAGACAATAATTTACATTACGCTTTTTTGTACTTTGAAAAAACCCACTGACTTAAAACACACTTATAACAGAAGCCACTGGGCAGCCGCTAAATTCAATCACTAATTCATTCTTAGGTTGAAGGAATCTGTAAATGACCCTGTAAATATGCACAGTTTGTTTTTTCAGAGGTGGGACTAACTTTCCAGAAGAGGGGGTCTGTGGTAATTCTTTATCAATGTAATGGAAGTAATGAAGTTTTCACAGGAAACTGCCTGATTGTGTATGGATATAAGAAAACCTCAGGGGGAGCAAATGTAACCGGGGCTACGTTTGTACAGTGTTGCTCCCGTGTTCGGAAGATAAATGTCATAAGAAGATAAAGATAAAATGTCATAAGACTGTACTGGCTGTTCATGTTTAACAGTCACATATTTCAAACAAATCACATCATCCAGTCAATTGTTTCCATATAATCACATCTACATTACTGTCTATGCTAACTGGAAGCACCATACAGATACAGTAGATACAGCTTAGGTTGAAAAATGCTGCAATATTCCTTTAACTTCTATGGAAGTTCACCCCTTTGTTAGATCTCTGCATGGCATTTGCAGCTTTTTACAATAGTATGACTCTGCATAAGGCATTGACAAACTGCTTCCTGTTTGGTTCTGGTCCTATTTGAACATGGCGTTGAAAGACCTGCCAATGACCATCCTTCGGATCTCGCTGGTGCCTGCGCCGATCTCATAGAGCTTAGCGTCCCTGAGGAAACGGCCCATTGGGTAGTCATTAATGTAACCGTTTCCACCTGTGGATGCAAACAGAGTCAGAGTCATAGAATAAAGAGCTAGGCAAGCACAATCTAGCAACTGTTCAACTGATAGGGGGGCAGGGCTTGTCTGGTCCAGTGAACCTGGCTTGCCCTAATGGCTAAACAGCTTAAATCCCGTCTGGTGCCAAAAAACACAATACGCCATAGACTGCCATTTAAAATTCCCTAATTTTTCCAGAGGAAAAAATACTTCAAAACAACGTTACAGGCAATTTTCAATGGTTTAATACACTGATTCACTAATTTAACATATTCATCTAGTGAGCGCTTGTTTTGTGAGGCACTTAAAGCAACACTATGTACAAGTATGTACTAGAGATGCATCAATACCGATACTGATGTCGGGTATCTGTCCAGAACTGCGCTAATTTACGCGTACTCGCAAAAAAAGGCACAGATATCAACATCCGATACCACCTGATACCATGTGACGTAAGCCTAGTGTATGCTGCAGTGCTAATGAATAAATGAGCCAGTCAGGCAGAATGAGGGTCTGCTTGTGTTGTTGACGCCATGGCAGTACGGTTGCTGGTCACTTGAAACATTCTGCATAGGCATATTCCCCTACACTGAGAAAATGGAGGTAAAAAAGCATATATTATGTATCACCTAATATAATTGTGAAGTATAAAAGCTTTTTTTCTTAAATTGTCAATAATTGTAAAACAGGCTATATATTAGGGGTGCAGGGAAAAAAATAGATTCTTAGATGCATCGCGATGCGGACGCGAATGATTCTGAATCAATTCACAAATGTCAAAAATCGATTTTCTAAATATTTAATTTATAATGTAATGTTGACGGAACGCAATAGGCGGAACTTGGAAGTGGGTAAGTGCAGCGCCCGGACAGTCTGTGGCGGCACATAACAAAAACACAACTGGATGAGTGAGAAATCTGACCGGCACCCTCTGCATTAAAAGCCAGGTTAGGTCAGGAGTCACAACATAAATGATAAGAAGAGCCATTTTGTCCTTTCAACAAAAATCAAACCACCTTGGGAGCCATGACATTTAATGTCCACTATGTCTCAGTATGTGATAATGTCCTAATATAGACTAAACAATATAAACGAGAACGCAGATTTACTCTGCTCTGCTTTAAGTTTCGCCTACAGCCGCTTTCCTCCCATTTCCGCCAGAAAACTTTTCCTCAGAAGTAGATCAGTTTCTTGTAAAATGTCTCTCAGCGTTCGGCTGTCTTACGAGCCTGAAGCTTCTCCAGCTTCTTGTTCGGATTTTCCCGTTCCACCTTAATTTCTGACTGAGGTGCCGAAAGTAAATGCGGCACCATTTAAGGTGGAACGAGAAAATTCAGAAGAGAAGCGACTTCATCTTTGTGACTTTTTAGTGTGTGACAGTCTCTTGCTGCAGATTTAACGTACCAGGAAACCAACTGCGATGCTTATAAATGTGAATAACGCATCGTTGCTATGTGACCTGCGGTCTGCACGCCAATTCTCAGTCGTTGCGAAACAGGGCTTTCGCGCTATGTTTCACACGTCCCGTCTCGAAGATATTTTACTGACACGGCGATCCCCCCCACCCCTTTCTCTACAACGAGACCAAAACCAAAATTATAAAGGTCACTAAAAACGGGTAGGATGGCTGTAACACGCTGCGTGGACATTCATTACCACTGGATCTTATTTCACCGTAACTGCGCATTTTATCGCAGGTGAGTAGCAGCAGCGTCTCATGTGCTCCGAGCAATAGCAGCGAATGAGAGCCTTCTAGTTCACTTGCCACATCACTTCCATTTGATTTATTAATAAAAGATATTGGATCCATTCATTATGGATCATTACAAATACTTTGCCTTAAAACTACCAAGTCCTCATTCAGTGAGAAAATAGAAATGATGTATAGAAAAAAAAAAAGATGCATCGATAATCATTTTATAATCGCATCGCAGACCTCTGATTCATAATCGAATCATGAGGTGCTTAGAGATTCCCACCCCTACTATATAGAGACCATACCATCCTACTGTGTACACCACCGTCTGGTTTAGTTTCAGTACATAGTTCACAAAGCTGCTGTACCACAGTTCATCATCGGTTTTTCCTCAGTACTGGGGTGCACAGTGTGTTGTTTTGAATGAAACAAAACAATGAAAGATACTTTACACACAGCTGTACGTGACATAAACTGACATAATGTGTCTAACTAATGCACTTCATTTAAAACTGGCTAGATTTGAAAAATATAACAGTTAAGGTGCAAACCACTCATTTATAGAAACAATTACATGAACACCTATTTAATTTTAGATAGGTTACTCATTATGGTTTGACTGGTTTCAGCAAGCGCCAAAAACATTCTGATACTTGATCCGGAAAAAAAATCCCTACTGTTTAAGTTTTGGGGATTTGGAGACCTCTCTGGTGTAACTGCATACAATATGTGGAAGAACATTTTGTAACGTCGGTTGTGCTTTGGATTCCTTTCCTGAGCAGACAAATCTGATGATTGTGAGTATTCAAAGAGAACTCAGTCAGTATAATGTTGATTTTGCATCTGAGACCTGAACATGGAGCCGGATCTTCTTTTTGAGTCTGTGCGTGATGTTAATACTTAAGACACGTATGATGTGGTCCAAATAAACTCCCACCAAATCTGACCCAATATCTCTGACTTCTAAATTGTTATTTTAGGCTTTACAGGGTGACTCACAGCTACTGAAATGAATAGATGCTAATGCTTCAGAGGAATGGTTCACTGAAAAATCTAAATAATACAGTCTTTCCCAAAAGATGAATGTTTGCCATCTGAAATATACTTTCTTTACAAGGCCAATGTAGCACAGCAAAGACTACAAGCCTCTGCTTTATGCTGTACACACTTTTTCACTGTTGCTATCTGAAGGGCATCTAGGTACAGATCTAAGCTGTTTGCGTTTAACAAATGAGCAAATGAGTAACCACTGATAGAGCTCATTACATAATCATTCATAATGTAATTCCCAACTAAGACTGGATTTGTTGCAGTATTCCCTGATGGACCCTAAAGTTTGATAGAACAGCTGCTCTTTGCAGAAGTACACTGAGAGGTATGTTTTACACTTCCCGCAGTGCACATTGCCAGACACTCACCCAGGCACTGAATTCCATCCAAGGCAACTTGAGTCGCGTTCTCAGCACAATAAAGGATTACCCCAGCACAGTCCTACAATAACACCACAAATCAATACTGCTACTACGGCACCTGGAACTGCTGCGTGCTTCAATTCCAGGGGTGAAATAAATGATTTTCAAACGAAGTAGTCAAACTCTTAACGCACTCACCATGGCACTGAAGTGCCCTTTGTCACAAGCCCGGGCAACGTTGTATACGTACTGACGACACGAACTTAGTCTGGTGTACATGTCAGCCATTTTTCCTTGCATCAGCTAGAGGATTCATAAGAAAGCAGACTAGAATTACTATCCAAACACACAAAAAAACAATACAAGAAAAGGTTCTCTGTCAAGTCCTGAGGGATCCATGCACTGCACAGTGTTTTGCCTGCTCTAACACACCTGATTCAACTCATCAGCTCTTTATAAAGCCCTTCATGAGTTAAATCAGGTGTGTTTGAGCCAGGGAAACATTGTGCAGTCCAACAGTCCCGCAGGACTAGAATAGAAAACCACTGAATAAAGCCTCCAAGCACTTTCTGTGCCTGCAACTTTGTATTATAAAAGTGAAAAAATTGTCTTTTTGCAGTTATACTGCACCATGTAACAAAAAGGAGAACACACTGTTCCTTCTCTCCTTAATTCTGTGGGCTATGCAATTATAGCAAAAAGGATATGTGCAATTACTTTGACTGTAATTATGGCTGTCATCATTAGCTCTAATTAACAGAGATGGTTTCAATTAGGGATGTCAAAAGTTAACAAAATATTCCTCAGTGCTTCAGTAATTCTTAATGCACTTTATTTTCTTATCAACTAAGTTTCAGCTATGCTTACATATCAAATAGTGCTGTTACCTGACAATCTGAGGTTATATAGTAATATATGAATCTATTTCTGGTTGGTTTCTGTAGTGAAATATCCATGTTTTGCAAGGAAATAAGTGTCAAATTGATCAATAGTCCTTCAAATGTAAACCTCTTGGTTAATTCTTAGTCTTCTGTCTACAAACAATGGGCTCCTAATTTTCCAAAAAAGATTTTTTTGAGTGACACTTCAGTATAGAGGGACATTATAATATTCTTGTAACGTGCTTACATGATTACAACATTAGCCTTGAGAAGCCAGTAGCTGGCAATAAACAGGCTGCTTATTATTGTGTTATTAAGCAGTAACTAGTGTGAAGTTTACTAAGCAATAACTATGGCATCAAGGCACATGTACAAGCTCTTAGCATGTGTGTTTTTTCTTTAGTTCTGCTGGAAACGCATCTTAGTTCGCTCCTCCTGAAGCAAAGGGGTGCTAATTTCTAAAAGGACCTAAAATCTAAAATTGTTTTCATTTGTTTAAAACTTTTTTGTGTCTGCATAATTCCATGCATGTTGTTTTAGAGTTTTGAGGTCTTATTAAATGTGGAAAATAGCCTTGTAAAAGTAAGTAAATATCACCTATGAGCAGGTTTTTTTTAAACCTTTGACCGGTAATGTACATATAAAATGCACATTAGAAAAACATTACGTAAATATCATAAATCATACCGATGATAAATTACTACAAGGACTCACTTGGAAGTGACCGATCTTTTGACCAAATGCTTCTCGAACGTGCAGATAGGGAATAGCGTGGTCAAGCACAGCTTGCATGATGCTGTAAAAGAAGACAGCCCAAAATAATAACCCATACTCCAATTAACAGAACATAATGTCTGCTCTAATTTAAGCCAACTGTGCATACATTACCCTAAAGGTCCTGCTGATAGCACGAGTCTCTCCAGGTCTAGTCCACTCATCAGTACGTACACTCCTTTGTTCAACGGGCCCAACACGTTCTCCACTGAAATCAGCAATGAACTTTATAAAAAATGCAGCAGAACCACCTGAACAAAGATCAGAGGAGCAGTTCCATTTTGTCAAAAGCACTTCACTGCCATCATCTGCATGCGGAAACACACACACACCTGGAACCTTGCAGTCCTCAAAGATTAGCTCACAGGTGTTTGAGCCTCTCATTCCCAGCTTATCCAGCTTCTGTGCAGTGCTGAAACCAGGCATTCCCTTAAGAAACAAACATTAAACAAATGAAAAGCTTATAGAATTAAAATAAACACTAGGACTGTTTGAGAAATCATATTTGTATTGTTTTCGCGATATGACTTTCTGAGGTAGAGCTGCGCTGACAGAACGGATCATATTGGCAAGAACGTGGTGTTAGATGCTTCCCTGCAATGGGCTTGAACTCTGCTCTCCCACGTAACTTAACCATTCAGTTAAATGGCTCACAGCTCAAAACTACTCTATCCTGAACTACTACGGTGTAAAAATGCTTAAAATGTGATGACTACTCTCACTCTCGGTGTTGTGTGCAAACTGCGTAGTCTGTATGGGGAGATGTATGAGCAGTAATGGCTATTGTTACAACAAACCTGCATCACCACAAAGCTTTTTTGAGAAATTCCATATATATTAGTTTTTGTAGGCTTACACTGAGAATAAAAATATACATATATATTCATAACAGTAAACTGTGCTTTTAAAATTTTTGTATTGTTTGCTACTTGCTTAAATTAGAGGTTAGATTTCTGTCTATGTTGTAAAAAAATGTCTGTGCTTGGCACATCTAGTCAGAGGCAGACTATTTTAACAATAATTTTGCGCTTCTAGTATCATCATCGTGATCTCCAACGGCTTTATCGAACAAAGCATTTTATGTCCATATTGTGCAGCCCTAATAAACACTCAAAAAGACACTGCTCCCAAATGCTGAGTTTTGTACAGATCCTATCAATAAAAAGCGATTTCATGGGCAGTAGGTTGAGTTAAAATCCGCACGAGCGTAGCTAACCTTTTCTATAATGAAAGCAGAGATGCCGCGGGCAGCTGCCTCTGGATCTGTCTTCGCATAGACAATGAGTACGTCCGCATCTGGTCCGTTCGTAATCCAGAACTTATTACCATTCAGCACATAGTGGTCACCTTAAAGGGCACAGCAGATCAAAGCTAAAAGGGGGATGTATGAGGTAGCTCATGCAAACAAAAGCACACAAAGGTTTATTTAAGAGCTACAATGAAGAGATATATTTCTGTAAGGTTCAATCATGCATTCATAATCATATGTAAAGGAAGACAGGATTTGCTGTTAAAGCAATTTTCCCCTGACCACAGCTGTAGTTGATCAGCCAAGACATGTTTGGTGTTGGTTTGCTTCTTTTGTTTTGCCCTATAGATTTACAAGGCTAATGAAGCTAACAATAACGGAAGCATACACTTGTCAGTTAGCACTGTGCTAACTGTGTGCCTATATCACCGCATACATGCCTTAAACTGTCTGGAGATGTAATCTTAAAAAGGTCCTGCATTAAGATGCATCACATTTCTGGATGTTCTATAGTCTGATCCCGACTGTCATCGGCAAGTGATAACTGTATTATGTGTGGTGTATTATGTGTAACAAAAACAAAACAAAACAAAAAAAACACACACACACACAACAAAACAAAACGCACTCAAAAAAAGAGCTGCTTTGCTACACTACCTGTGAGCAAGTTTTCTGGAAAAAGAAAAAAAAAGCTGCTAACACTCAGAGGCCACTTCTTTCTGTGCCTCCTTTCTCCAATAACCTGTTTCAGCAAGGCACGTTATGTGATAACACCACAGAAAAGCCTGCTTAAACCAGAAGAAGTAAACATGCGTGAATTTCTGCTCAGAAACTCAGATCTGACAGTTATTCATATGTTTTTTGCTTGTTTTTGCTACAGGAAATTAACTGTGAGTATGCAGCCTATAAACGGCTCCTTCCTTTACAGTTATTGTAGTCTATTATTAGTACTACTAGTATTATTACAATAATAGTTTTTTTTTTCCTTTTTTTTTTTTATTAACTGACATGTAACCACAACATCAAAACTGTTTACGCCCTTGTTCACGTTTCGCAAGGGAGGGCGATCCATGCGCAGAAGCCTGCATCACAGCTTTGTGTGTTTTATCTTGTTGTGTGCAAATATAATTACTGCTTCTTAAAGCTGCAGACTGTGCTTTTCTGACATTTAAATCGTCCAACTTGAGTCGTGAAAGATTGAATCTATTGCTGATCCATGATACAACTGCTAATCAGTGCAAGCCTACTGTCCGTACAGGAGTAACCGTGTTTGTGATCGTAATGTGTTCAAATTTAACTGTCCTGATCCTGAGGTCGTCATGCACACGTTGTGATTGGATCTGTGTATGTATAAACACAAAGTCTGTCTAACTTTATGAGGCTGTAAAGGAAAAACACCCACAACTCAACTTTGTTCCTATAAACACACTCCAGCACTCCCCCTGCCTCATTGCTCTAATTTCAATAGTTGATTATGCCACAAATGAAAACGGTCATCACTTTTTTTAATTAAAATTTTGTTCAAAATATCATCAGAATATCAACATGTGAAAATAGTAAATCAAATCAAATCATAGGCTGAGTGTATCGTTACACCCCTACTGTATTGGGTCTGCCCTACTCTGGTGCGATTCCAGCATGATTTAGAATTCAAATATTGTGTAGGAAAATGAGATCGGATCAATATCTGGATGCAGAAGCTACGATCAAAGAGGGCAAGAGCAAATTTGTTCCGTCTTGATTGGAGGATCATCAGTGAGAGCACCATCATTCAGATCTTGGTGACTGGATGTTAATTCCAAGTGTTAACAGGGTCAAAATCTTGCCTCTGTGGTCTCTGACAGTGCTATCTATATAAAAGGACACAAGCACATTGCATCTAAAAACAGTAGCACCGGTCATCTTAAAGCCTGAATTTTGCCCATATTGTTGTCCATTTGTATAGATAACAGTTTGTCATATGCTTACATTACTTGTTAGCTATATTATTCTAGCAGCTCCAGTGCAATATAAAGAAGCGAACGTAGGACACCATACATGTATTTGACTACACTAGGGGTCATTTCCCCTGAACTATCATTTTAATGGAAGCTAAACTCTATTCATATATAGCCATTAAGCCACAAAGCATACCACTGGGCAAGCACATCATGCTATTCCAAAAAGAGTCCTGGGGAAAGACCCCTAACACTACATTCACCTCCGCTGTAACATGATTACATCTCTCTGCAACTGCTGAATGTCATAAATGTAAAAATAAATGAGAAATATAATCAGGATGTACAATAACAGATCCATGTAGTAAAGTGGTGGAAGGAAAGGGACGCAGCTCACCCTCTTTCCTTGCGGTCAGTCTCATTGATACCACATCAGAGCCAGAGTTGGGCTCACTCATGGCCAAAGCACCTACATGTTCTCCTGTAATCAACTAGAACAAAAACATACAGTGAGTCCATTTCTGCCTCTCAGCTTTAACGTATAGAGGCTTGGAATCCATTCTAACAGGCGTACAGGCATTATTACAATCACAGTCTGTCTATGCTATTTTTGTAACACTTTAATGAGCACAGATAGACAGAGTGATTTTAAGCTGCTGACAACAACAAGGGATATAGCGCACGGACCCACCCATCTCTAGACTGAATGCACTGTCTAAACTCCTACCTTCGGCATGTATTTCTCCTTCTGCTTCTGGTTGCCATGGCGTACCAGCTGATTGACACAAAGGTTAGAATGTGCACCATAGCTGAGTCCAATAGCTGCCGAAGTTCGAGAAATCTCCTCCATTACGATCACATGCTCCAGATAGCCCAATTCCGTGCCACCATACTCCACTGTGGTCAGAAAACACAGATGGCACAAGGCTTTCCTTGATGACTCAAAGTTCAGGTTAAAAGCAGGTTCCTAAAAGGTTCTTGGCTATGGCTGCAACTACTGAATATTTACACTTTTTGAATACTCTGTCAAACGTCATCCCGAATGTTTGGTTACTCTACAAGAATAAGATAAGTCTCACTATAATAACTGAACATTGCTGTTTCTATTAAAATAATACCCATTATTATTACAACAAATAATGTAATTACATTTACCCCGATCAGACATAACATTATGACCACCTCCTTGTTTCTACGCTCATTGTCCATTTTATCAGCTCCACTTACTACATAGGTGCACTTTATAATTCTACAATTACAGACTGTAGTCCATCTGTTTCTCTGCATACTTTGTTAGCCCCCTTTAACCCTGTTCTTCAGTGGTCAGGACCCCCATGGACCCTCACAGAGCAGGTATTATTTGGGTGGTGTATCATTCTCAGCACTGCAGTAACACTGACGTGGTGGTGGTGTGTTAGTGTGTGCTGTGCTGGTACGAGTGGATCAGACACAGTAGTGCTGCTGGAGTTTTTGAACACCTCAGTGTCACTGCTGGACTGAGAATAGTCCACCAACCAAAATATCCAGTCAACAGCGTCCTGTGGGCAGCATCCTGTGACCACTGATGAAGGACTAGAGGATGACCAACACAAACTGTGCAGCAGTAGATGAGCTATCGTCTCTGACTTTACATCTACAAGGTGGACTAACAAGATAGGAGTGTCTAATAGAGTGGACAGTGAGTGGACACAGTGTTTAAAAACTCCAGCAGCACTACTGTGTCTGATCAACTCATACCAGCACAACACACACTATCACACCATCCCACATCAGTGTTACTGCAGTGCTGAGAATGATCCACCACCCAAATAGTACCAGCTCTGTGAGGGTCCATGGGGGTCCTGACCACTGAAGAACAGGGTAAAAGGGGGCTAACAGAGTATGCAGAGAAACAGATGGACTACAGTCTGTAACTGTAGAACTACAAAGTGCATCTATGTAGTAAGTGGAGCTGATAAAATGGACAATGAGTGTAGAAACAAGGAGGTGGTCATAATGTTATGCCTGATCAGTGTAAATAGTATTTTAAAAGTCAAAACTGTCAGGCTAGATTCTGCAGGAGCTTTGTAGACTACTTTAGATGTCTTTACATATCAACGTCAAATGCAGAGGCTCAAAGTAAAGGTCCGGCTAGATGTTTAGGTCTCAAATGCAAAATCAACATTATACTGATGAAGACATGTTGATCACAGTAAGTAACTCACTTACATCCTCAGACGATATGTCCTTCTCCAAGTTTGGATCGAGTTCTCTTTCAATACTCTTTTTTGCAAGGTAATGAAAAACATTATCATTTTCATAGCAAGTTGCATGAAATTGCTAAATTTGGACCCAATCTGGCAACCCTGATCAGGAGAGCAGAGGAAACAGCCTTTGGTCAACTTTTGTCAGTGAATAGGGGGTGATCAAGGTTTTTAAGTGGCTCGAAACCACTTTATATCATGCAATAAGCTCAGCCACATCAGCTTTAATGATCAGTGCAATCTGAATATTTTTCCTACAGTTCTGGACAGCTAGCTAGCCTGTATGCACTCATTTATTCTCTGTTATAAATGCAACTGAGAGCAAGCTGGCTAGCTAGCAATTCAGAACAGTAGGAAACATAGTTGGTGTTAAGACCAGTACTGCTTCCTCGAACTATGAGAGTCTCGCAAGCTGTGCCAAATCTCAACCTTTAGTGACTCTGGTCTGCAGCACTGGCATCAGCAAGCTACTGGTGACAAGCTACCATTTAGCCTGATAAACAAACTTTTATTTCCCTACTGAAGTGCATAAGAGTAATAAATACATTGGTTAAATTATTTCTCTCTTTTTTTAATATTATAATTATTCATGTTACCAAATATTATTGAATATTTGTTGCAGCCTTTGCATCAGAAGTAGTCTTTTTAAACTCTGACAGAGGAAGTTTTCACACTCACACATCTTATGTTCAGAACCATTTCTTCCATCACACCAAAGAATATATTTATTTAAGTATATACATCATATAAGAAACCACTCATACTTTTACAGTTCTTAACCAACAACAAACTACTTGCTCTTCTCTGAACCTCTCTGACACTCTCTCAGATACAAGTTCTCCCACATTTAACCAAAATGGTACAGAAAAGCTCTTGCCTGGAGCTGTGATCCCAAGCAGTCCAAGTTCACCCGCCTCCTTCCAAAACTCCTAAAGCAAAAAATAAAAAGAGATATCTACTTTTAAAATACTCTATGTACTGGGGGTGTAATGGCTCAGTATTGTCTCAATTCAGTACATTTCTCAATATAGCAAAAGTAAAGATTGCGGTACAAATGTGGTTTATGTTAACATTTGAGGTGCACAATCAGAAATCGAGAAATAATTGCTGTAAACATCCAATCGGTACTCAGCCAGTTTATCATTTTTATTCTGGCCAATCAGTGTTGCAATTTTATGAGGTAACATGAGGCAGGTAAGTGTATTTGAATGCTGCTTCTACATCTACACTAAAATTGTGCCAAATAGCCATTAACCTTTTACTTTCAACGTAGCACTTTATTTGATTCATATTATTTAAACAGGCACCTTAAAATGCCAGTCTGGCCCATCAAAGAACAACTAATCATATTTATATTGTGACTTTGGCTAATATACAGTACTGGAAATATGCTGTTTCTTGTGCTTATTTAGTCCACACAGTGTGAGCTTTAAATTAAATAGGCTAGTAAACATTTGGCTGCAAAGAAGTCAGAATCTACCCCCAAAAACACAGGATAGTTAATGTGTACCATTTAGACTGGTTTCATAGCAGTACAAAAACACAGAAGTTGTGCTTCATTGTGCCTCAATTTAAAATGCTTAAAAACTCAAAACAAGCTAATGTGCTAGCCCCTAGCTAACACACTATCGAAAAGCTAGCATGCATACAATGACACAGTATGACACACTGTACTGATAGAGCTCTATTATTCACTGACAAAAGCATAGGAATTTAAAATTTCTCAAGAATACCAATGTGATGTGTTGCTTTTAATATAAGAACGTGTAGTAACTTACCTTCAAGCGTGGGAAGTCATTTGCCTTGTCAATTTCATCAGCATAAGGAGAGAGCTTCTCCTGACAGAACCTCTGAACTGTATGTCTGAGCTGGTGAAAAAATATTAGCACTGTGTTAGCATGTGTTGTTCCAGCATGTCCATCATAGTGAATATAATAACATGTAAGGCTGACTTATGCCATAGTCTGCATCCTGACACAGCAACAGAGCAGCCTCTGGATACAAAATAGGTTACAATTGCCAAGAACCTACAATAAGTACTAAGATGATGGATAATAAAGACCCAGCATCAGAACAAGATTCAGCATTCACAGATTCTTCTGTAGAAGAAGCATCTGGCCAGTACATAAACTATATGTCTATCCAAACATCCCTTCTAATTAGTGAATTCAGCTATTTTAAGGTGAACCCTTTGCTGATGCAGGTATTCAACTGCATACCCACCAATATCACTACCACAACTAACTGACTGTCTGGCACATTACATTCAGCTGTCAAGCCTCAAGTCAGAAAGGAGTGGATGTGCTGGTCTTCCTGGCCAGATAAACAGTGCCTGTGGCCACTTGCACAAAACATCTTAAGCATTTATCCTCAGTTAAACTCACTTAGATACTTAAGGAATAAATTTAAAGCTGTGCGTTTTAATTCATTTTTTTGCAAATGTCAAAAGCTAAAGTTCTGAAACTTAAATTTAGGGTCCTAAACTCAATTTATAATTATGGATTTTTTTTCCCCAATTTCCAGTTAAACATTTCGCCAAAGAGATTTTACGCAGCTCTTAGGAGAAAACTTATGGTCAAAATTCTCTTAAGACGTTTTATGGATAACTGCATATCACTGCGCCTTTTAAGTGAATGAAACGGCGTTTCAGCCAATCAAAATCAGTCATGCGGCCCCACCCTCCGCACGTCCCCCCACCCCCCTCCCCCAACGTGGAATAGCCTTATCCACTATAACCCCTATCATTACAATTACCGTTCACTCTGTTCACCAGCGATATTAGTCTTAACAGACAATCACAGAAGTAGAGCTGTACAGTACAATTAATCTGCTCTGTTTTGTCAGCAGCTCCGTATTTGCCAAACTCCTTAGTCAGTGATGTGCAAGGTCACGTCACTCATAGGAGCTACACAGCTAACTTAGAAGACTGTCCTGCCTGCAAATTTTATGGACTTTTTTATTATTTTTATGGCAGCTGTCAGCACCGTAGTTAACTACACAGTTTTGTGGTCACAGAATAAACAACACTGACCTCAGAAGCCAGTTAGCTAGCCAGCCAGCTAGCTACAAGACTCTGTTGTGTGTGTTAAACCCTGCTTTACCTTCAGTGTCCTGAACCGCGCTCAGGTGTAGCATTATTCTGTCACATTCCCTAATTCCTGGGGGATATTCTCTCCAAGATGCGAGCCAATATGTCTGCAGGGTTTTGCAGACATACAGCTCATTGATTTGCCTAGTCTGGCAGTTGGTAACAAGTCAGTGCGACCGAACTTGCATTATAAAACGAGCTAACTAACCTATATTTACTACAACTAGTTACACAGTTAAAAGGTCCGGATAACTGAAGACCTCCACAGACATAAACTCGCAAATAGAATTACCCGTTCCACCTTAAATGGTGTAGCAGCTCCATTCTGGCGCCTCCGAAAGTAACTGCTGCACCATTTAAGGTGGAACGGGAAAATTCCAACAACTAGCTGGCGAGAAGACTTCGGACTGTGGTGGCACCACGCTTACATTGTGCCTACAGCTAAACATGGTCCACCGTTTAAACAGAGATTCCCACACTTACTCATGGCTTCATTTAGGAGCTGTGTGGTTACCTGGATCTGCTCCTCTGTGAGCCCGTTCACGACGTCATCTACAGGAATAGCTGCAGCGCATCCACGTCGAGGAACAGTAACACTTATAAGCCTTTGTGCAAGTCGCAAAGCTCCTCTAGCAGAAAACATCTTTAGTCCAACAGGGAAGCGAAAGTGGCTAAAAATAGAGCAATTTTTATTTAAAAAAGCAAGTGTTCAGGTCAGCCGGCCAGTTAAACAACTGTCACCGACTTCTCTTATTCTCTCGGTTCTGTTTCGAACACTGCGCATCTTTACTGCCACCTACTGACCAGGAGAAGATCTGCTCAACCTGAGATTCATCCTCCGGAGGTGGAAACACTGCACGACGTGTTCTCACAGTGAGCCTGACTGAATGAGCAGGTTACTGAACACTGCGTGGGACTATAACTCTATTATTATGACTAATAATCAGTCTTCAGTTAGTCAGTAACTCAGGCCTTTAAGTACACTCTTAAAAATTATGGCTCTTCAAGGGTTCTATTTAGAACCATGAGTTCTTTATAGAACCATTTCATGCTTAAATGGTTGTCTTTATGGTGAAATGTTTCTTCGGCTTGATGGAGAATGTGTTATATATGGTCCTATATAGACCTAAAAAGTGTTCTGTTCTATTGCTATGATGTCAAGCTTGTAACAATAGCAGAACCCTTTTTGGTGCTTTAAAGAACCATTTTCAAAAAGGTTCTATGTAGAAACATATACAACACATTCTCCATCAATCTGAAGAACCATTTCACCATGCAGAGAACCATTTAAGCATGAAATGGTTCAATGTAGAACTCGTGGTTCTAAACAGAACCATTCCCTTGACTGAAGAACCCTTGAAGAACCATCTTTTGTAAGAGTGTAGCATGTCAATTCCAGATTTCACCTGAAAATGATATAAAGTTTGATTTCTAATGTAATTACATATTTTAAAACAAATATCCACATAAATAAAACAAATAAATGAATAAAATCATAAATAAAAACAAAATTGTAAATACATTTATAAAACATACAAAAGTTTTGCACAAAGTTACACAGTAAAAAAACAACAAATCTTATCTTCTTCTTCCTCTTGTCGCTGAGTGTGGTCAAAAAGGACTCTGTCTTAACTAAGCTTTTTAAATTAGTTACAAGTTAAAAGGAATTTAAATGGGCCTAACAGTAAAAAAGCAATTCATAAATACAGTTAAGAACAAGTTATTCATTTCTCAGGAGAGATTTCTGAAGAGATCTGATATAAAATAATCTGTTTGCATAAGGAAGAGGAAAGTCAGTAGAAAATATGTGAAAAATAAGCAGTTTTCAAAACTGGAGTTCAAAAAATTATTTAGTTAAATCAAAAGAAACAGAGGAACAAGACCCTGAATGACTGTGTGAGACCTGATAGACCTCCAAAACTGTCACTATCAGATAAACGGCACTTAAAGCTTTCATCTTTGAGAGAGAGAAGAAAATCAAACTCCACTTTTGCTTCACGTCTGAAAAAAATCCACAAGTCCATCCATCCACTATGAGAAGACAACTCAACTCTATGGCTCTGAAAGGATGTGAAGCTGTCAAGAAGAAAACAATGAACTGACCAGCCCAGAGTCCGGACCTCAGCATCACTGAAGGTGTTTGGGGTTACTCTGATCGTGAGAGGCAGAAAGTGCAACCAACTCCTAAGACTGAACTGTGGAGGTGTGGAAAAATATCCCCGCATTTAACCGAGAAACTGAAAGCAAGTCTCCTGAAAAGAATGGAAGCTGTAACACAGGCGAAGAGTGGACACTACATACTGAAACACAGATATTATATAATATTTTTTTCTGAAGCTGAGAAATGAATAACGTGTACATAATGACCGTTTTGTCTCTATAAATAAATAATAACGTTCAGGCTTTTACTTGCCGTATTTTTGTTGTAAAAATAATAATAATAATAAAAACAATAATAATTGTATTGTTTATATTTTATTTTTTATATATTTATTATTATTACTATTATTATTATTATTACTATTGTGGTCAGTAATCTGCTGTAGACGCAGTGAGCGTGAGCTTCGCGCGCAGGTGCTGATGAGGAAATGAGCGCGTGCTGAGTGAGAGAGAGAGAGAGAGAGAGAGAGAGAGAGAGAGAGAGAGAGAGAGAGAGAGAGAGAGAGATGTAAAAGCTGAAGCAGAGCAGCAGTCAGGAAGCAGCGCGCGACAGAAACACGGAAGATCTCTGACAGCAAAAGCAGCAAAGCGCGCCGATCTGGAGCTTCACTGGATCTTCGCTGGATCCTCACTGCTCTGAGCCGCCGCTGTGAGAAATGTGAGAGCGCAGTCTGCACAGCTGAGCTCTGAGACGCGGAGCGAGCGGACTTCAGGCGTGAATGAGAGAAGTTTGTGCAGAGCGTGTGCACAGAGTGAGAGTGGCAGGCTGGTGACTCTTCTGGGGGGGAGGGTGGCAGAAGGAGTGACCTGTGGCTCCAGGCGTGAAGCAGCCAGATGCCCAAAGAGAGGCGGAGGTCTCTGAGGGAGACCGTGGCGTGCAGGGCTTCTCCTCTGGGGGACGGCGGAGCGGGGAAAGAGCGTCACTTCTCCACCGAGCAGCCGCCCATGGAGGAGCAGCAGAGCCGCGAGATTCCCGAGGAGAGCGGCCCGGGGAGAGGCGGCCCCGTGCCGCAGGTGACCATCACGGCGGCCACGGACGGACAGATGGAGCCCACCGAGATGATCACGGACATGGACGAGGTGAACGGACCTCTGCGCCGCAAACTCTCCAACTCCTCCATCTCCTCCACTGGTTCGTCAGCAGGGCTGGAGGAGTCTGAGGACGACATCCTGAGCGACAACGAGACCAAGAGCAAGGGCATCATCACTCTGGAGCACCTGGGGGACACTGGAGAGGTGGGTCTTTTGTCTCCTAGTGGGGGGTTTATACCCCACAGCCAGTGTTCATCTATTTGCATGAACTTGCTTGCATTGGTGCTCAGAGCCTCTCTTAGGATCTGCATGATTTACCTCAAAGAGGATATGAGCAAGTCTGCTTATGAAACGTTTGATGTATTTCAAACTACTTTAACAGCTCTTGGGCAAATAATATTCAACCACATTCTCCCTCCCTTGCTGGACCCCAATATATTTAAGCAAGATTTTCTGAGCAAGAAGTCAGAACTGCTTAGACTTATTGTAAGAGTACTGTAAGTTCTGAGTGTGAGATTGTAAATGTGTGGTTAGGAGAGTAGATAGGGAATCTTCAGAATAGTAAACAAAGACTAGAAATCTTCAGCATTGTTAAAAAGACTGGGAACCTTCAGAATAGTGAAAATGGTAGGGAATCTTCAGAGTGGCAAAAGAGACAAGGAAGCTATGTAATAGTGAAAATGATAGAGAACATTCACAATAGTGAAAAACATCAGAGAAACCTTCAGAATAGCGAAAAGGTTAGGTGACCTTTACAATAGTTATATACCCTCATGATAGTGAGAAAGATAGGGAACTTTTAGAATAGTAATAAAGATAGAGCTCTCAGAAAAGTGCAAATTATTTGGAATTGTCAGAATAGTAAAAATGATAGGGAACCTACAGAACAGTGAAAAAATACTGGGAACCTACAGAATAATGAAAAAACAAGAAACCTTCAGAATAGTGAAAAAATAACAGGGAATTTACAGGATAGTGAAAAAGACCAGGAACCTTCAAAACAGTGATGAAGATGAGGAACCTTCAGAAGAGCGAAAATGGATGGGGAATCTATTTGCTATTACAGGGCAGTAATTGCAAATACTCGTCCATTCCACTGTTTGTATATTTGTCAAATAACATCCGTTCTTTCTGATGAAACACCACCTGTTTGCAATTATGGGAAACACCCATAAGATATACCTGCCATGCCTTGAATAATTCTGCTGAAAGAGCCTTGTGACGCAGGAGCTTCGGCCCTAATTAGCATTACTGGCACTGAGTGACACGTTACAATCATACTATTAAATTTTTTTAATATAATGTTTTTAATATATTTAAAAGCAACTGATTAAGGTTAAGCTGAAGCAGACCTGCAATTCACCAAAGATTCAGAAATGAGACCTATATGTAGATGTATATAGAAGACAATCTTAAAGGATGAATCATGAAAAGCTTTATGTTATTATACAAAACTGTTAACAAGTACCTCAAAGAACTGTAGTTACGAGTGAAATGCCCTGCTATAGCAAAACCTAGGTGCTTACTGGACCCTATTCAAAGATCTTGAGCAACATTTAATACATCCTAGTGGAAACCATAAAACAGCATTTTATTTGAAGCCATTATTTGAAATCTTTTATCTGCCAAGTGCCGACAGTCATTCTGAATAAACATGTTGGGCTTTGAGTCCTGTTGTTCAGTCACGTCCATAGAAGGCCTTAGCTGTCGGCATACTTTAAACACACTCTAGAAGTCTGGAAGGCGCGTCTGCACAGTGTCCATGCTGAGCCTTTGGAGAAGTTCCACACCTTCCACTGAATGAACTTGTGTGTTTATCCCTTAGTCATACTGAAGCATTCCACCCATGGGAGGAAAAACATGCAGTGCAGTGTTTCTTTTTAAAGATCACTTGAGTCGTCTGTTCTCGAATACGATTGGTAATCTCAGCCGTTTCTACAGACTGCGTAAGGAACCCCTGACTGTGTCATGGCGTATTTGCAGCAAACAAACCTTTAGCCTTGTGACATTTAAGCCAAAGCCACATGGTGAAGCAAACAACGTTTTCACTACCTCTTAAAAGGGGAACAACTTGAGGCCTGTTGAAATGTCGCCCAGCTGATAATCGCAGTGATTAGAACAGCTACCCTTGATATATTCCACACTTGGCTTGATTATATTGAATAAAAACATTTACCTTGTTCTAATTTAACTGCTTATTATTTAGTTACTAATAGTTACTAAGACTTATTATTTAGTACCTACTATAAATTGTATGGTAACTACACATCTGTGTCCAGTGAAGGACAACACATTTTGTATTAAAGACAAAAACAAAACAAACACAAAAATGTTCTGTTGACCTTCTAAGTGAAGGTCTGTTACTTAGTTTAACATATTGGAAAAAATACAATATAAAATGTACCACAGCTTTTTCATGTATATGTTAAATTCAGCAAGTAAACAGTAACTGTCCATTAAAATGTGTGTTCTCATTAAAATGTGTTCTCTTGGAAAATGTATATATAAATTTAATTCTATGTGTTATCATTCATTAAATTTCTTATCAAGTTCAAGTTACAAAAAAGTCAAGCATCTTGACATTTAAAAAATGTTATGATTGTGATAACACAAAAAAGTGTTTTTGAGAGTGTACTATGGAACTGCAATGCAGGTTATGTCATTGCGACAAAGAGGGATTGACAGTCTGTCAAAAGTTCAGTTCAGTCCACCGTTAGCATCCATAGCACTTGTGCTAAAAGATAAAAAAATTCATTAGACAAAGAAAAAATTAAAAGCACACAGTAGAGCACCTCCAAAAACATTTTATTATGTCAAAATAAACTAAATGTTCATTGCAGACATATACAGTGCTGAACAAAAGTCAGAGATGACCCTTCATTTATTTAATTGCCAGTCAAAACAGCAGGTAAATACAAGGTATTCATTTTTCAGAGGCAGGAAAACACAGAAAACATATATTTAACAGAAAGTTACACCAAACCTCAAGAACCAAATATAATTTTTGTGTTCTTTTCATGACACTTGCTTTAGGTTTTTTAAAGAAGTCATATATTTTTCCACATCTCCATAGTTCAGTCTTAGAAGTCTTAGAACTGCTTTTCACGATCCAAGTAATCCCAAACACATTCAGTGATGTCAAGGTCTGGACTCTAAGGTGGTCAGTCCATTGTTCTAAGAACAACAGCAGCTTCTTTGTTTTGTTTTTTTTTGTCTATTTCTTTTTCTCAGTAACAGCTTCTTGGCAGCTTTGCATCCTTTCAAATCCATAGTGTTGAGTTTTTTCATAGTGTTAGTATAAAGAGGAACACATGGATTTTTTCAGATCTGAATCAAGAATGGATCTTGATTTTCTCCTCTCTCTCAAAGATGAAAGCTTTAAGTACTGTTAATCTGATGGTGTCAGTTTTGGTGGTCTACCAGGTCTTGCACGGTTGTTATGAGTCGCATGGTTGTACAGTACGTTGTGCTTGAGAATGGACAATATAAATGTGAATATGACGCTTTCAATTTGCACCTTCATATGAGCTAATGCTAAAGGTAACATTGGAGCTAGTTGGATCAACTGAGGGATGCTGAGGAGCACATCCTATACGTAAAGTTTTTGATGGAAAACATAACTTTATCGAAACAATAGAGATGATGTCATGTGTACAAGTACATTGGTATTTATGAAAAGCTAACATAGCTAACTTAACATTGCTCTGAAACATTATTTGTCAATAGACATCATATTAAAATGCTTTATCAAAAACAGTAGCGCAGATAAAGTATGGCTTACCGTAGAGCCTGTATAGTTCTGCCTCTTTTAGTAGTTTTGCCTTCCACAGAGTTTAATCCTGCTGGGGAGTCCTGTCAAGTTTCTCTTTTGCTTGACGGAGGAAGTAGCTTTTAGAGATGATTGTGACTGGCTGAGAGACGTGGCAGTTATTATTTTGCAAACAGACAATTAAAGGGTGGTCCACATATGTACCCTTGCAGTTAAAAGGTCTAAAGGGGCAGATTTACTAACGTTTTGTGCTGTCACAAACCCTTTTTGGTGCTAAAAAGTGGCTGTTGCCATTTACTAAAGAGGTGCAAAAGCCCTTTAGTGCCCATGAGAAGATGAAAGGGGAGGTCGCAGGACTTTTGTGCTGATGTGTAACTGTGTATGCATTTATAGGAGTTTCCCACTCAAAGCACAAAATACTGGGAGGACATTATTATAATGAATCACTGACTCCTATTTACTAAGAATGTTGGTAAATACTGAGTGTGTGAGATTTAACGCCTGAGAATAGCTCCTCTTATTTTTGGTGCTGACTTGGCTGCCATTGTTTGAGCTCAGAGAGAGTTTTTCATACACATTTATTTATATTTGATGAAAAAAACACTTGTAAATGCCTGCCATGTCACATTATTCTATATTTGGTGAAGGAAATGAAAACCTAAAACCAATTTCCTAAAACTTTGGGTATATTTTACAACTGTCAAATTGTCTTTAGGGCTAGTTTTGCCTACACAAAGATTTGACGGTTTTCTTTTCCAAACTATCGTTAAAATCCCATAATGAAACTATTTTGGCTGTGTAATCACTGCTGGTTGCTACTGGTAACTTCACTACTGCGATAGAACTTCTGGTTACTTCAATGCACTGGGGCAGAAATGTCACAGTCATCTTTTGACGCACTGCATGGAACAAAGAGGTCACGCTCACCACAAGTTCAAAATCATACAGTTCCCAAACGAGCAGGATGTGCACAATGAAGTTCCACAGAGATTTTACAATTTCACACGTTTCCAAATGCACTTCACACTGAACTCAAGTTCAGCTCAAACCACCAGCCAGAACTGTCTTGAATGTCTGGCATACGATGTCAAAATCATGTCATATTTCGTTCTTCCTCGATGAGAAATAACTCACTTTTTTCCACTTAGTCATTATTTTCATTTACTAAGTGAACAAAAAATAAGTCATTATTTGAACTAGATTCAGAGAAGGGTAAAAAAAGGTCTACATCGTGGAAATAGGCTTCCATACAAAAAGCATTTAACCCAAATACGTGATTATACTGCGCTGGCCATATTAACTACAAAATTGTGCTTGAGCTCATTTGCATGGAAGATCTTAGTAGATAAGGTGCTAAATTAGCCACCCCCACCAAAGTGCCACAAAGTGCCAGTAGGCTGCTGGTAATTAGCACCTCTCTTAGTAAATCTGCCAC